TTCCTTCAGGATGTCTTCCTCCACATCAACCCACGCTTCTGCTCCATCATGGTACTCTCTCTCTCTCTCTCTCTCTCTCTCTCTCTCTCTCTCTCTCAATTTTGTTCATATGCTTTTATTTGAGATGTTGAAAGTTAGTCATAAACATTTCAATTATCAAATTTTTTTTTTCTTTTAACTTTATACTTGTTAACAAAGAGAGAAGACACACTTTTTGAACTCGAGACGTATGAGTAGAAACTCAAGATAGAGACTTAGAGTCTTTACCCTAAATAATTAGTCAAATTGAATTAAAGATCTATTTGTAAATGCTTATCTAAAAGACACTTCTAACATATGTATAAATGCTTTTATTAGAAATGTACGGTCGAACTTTTATTAAAAATTTAAGTGCTTTGAAGTTCTTTTTGCAAAAAATTGTTATAATTGCTTTTGAACGTTAGAAAACGCTTTTTCCTATCATGGTAATGATTATAATTAGGAAATTAATTTAATATTAAATTTGAAAAATCCTCCGCAGGTTGACGTCGACGGAGAGAAACAATGGAAGAAGGTTGAGGTCAAGCTCACGGATCATGTTCACGTCCCTATTTTTCCCTCTGGAGTATTGTCACCTGAGCCTTACGACCTTTATCTCGGTGACTACATATCAAAAGTAGTACTGGAAAAATACCCAGAAGACAAACCACTGTGGGAAGTTCACATAGTCAAATATCCAACTTCCACTGCCGCTGGTAACCTAATATTCAAGCTTCACCATGCACTTGGCGATGGCTACTCCTTCATGAGTGCTCTTCTTTCTTGTCTGCAAAGAGCTGACGATCCTTCTCGCCCTCTAACTTTTCCGTCGCGCCAAGGTTCCGAGAGAAAGGGACGTGACGATTATTATAAGAGTGCTTTGAGGTGGGTGTCTCAGAATTTGGCCTCAGCTTTTTATGCCGTGAAGGATTTGGGTTGGAACGCTTTCGTTGAAGATGATCGAACACCGATAAGATCTGGGAATTCTGGAGTTGAGTTTCTGCCAATGGATATATCAAGCTTGATATTCTCCCTTGATGAAATCAAACTAATCAAGAACAAGCTCAACGTGGTAAGATACTATATATGATTATAATTAGCTAGGTCGCTATATTTTTTTGTTCATATATATCATTTTGTGTGATCGAAATTTTTTCTTTTCTTGTTGTGGCAGACGATAAATGATGTGATATGTGGAATAGTGCTCTTTGCTACTAGACTGTACATGCAAGAGATGATTAATAATAACCAAAAATCAAGCAGCGCAGCAAGCTGCCGAGCGCTGGTGTTGGTCAATACTAGGATCACTCATGGTGATTACAAGCCGGTGAAGCGGATGATCGGACCCAATTCTGAGATGCCGTGGGGGAACCGAATTGCTTTCATGCCGATTTCCATGCCCAAGTTAACTGAAATCTTGAACCCGCTGGACTTCGTCTTCGAAGCACAAAAACGTATTAAGAGGAAGAGGAGTTCTTTTTCCGTTTCTTTCTATAACAAGCTATTTGAAATTGTGAGCAAGCTTAGAGGCCATGAGGTGGGTAATCATCTCTCAATACACTTTCAGTACGAGGACGGCCCATGTTGTTATATGGTTTCATTAATTCACGTGTTATAATATGCGTAGACATATTGTATTTATGGTCGATGTTGCAAACAATATCAACCATATATATAGTATAATTAAAGTAATCCTCCTTGAAATGGTATTGATGTTGCAGGCAGCATCAAGATACATGCACAACAGACTGATGAAGTCGAGCCTCATGATATCAAATATGATAGGGCCTGTCGAGAAAGCAGCTTTGGCTGATCATCCAATCAAGGGTGTATACTTTATGGTTTTAGGTATACCTCAGGTATGTCGTTAAGTATATATTTATAGTACATTGATGTGTCCGATTTTGAGCATATATAATTAATTCATGTCAAGTTAGTTAGAGCAGTGTGCTCCTCTCAGTAAGTTAACGCATCTTATTAAATGTTTCGAGATTTCAATGGTTTTGCAGGACATTATCATAACAATAGTCAGTTATATGGGAGACTTGAGGATTTCCTTTGGAACTCAGAAGGGCTTTATTGATCCTCAAAAGTTCAAGTCATGCTTGAAAAATGCGTTTGAGATGATACTAGAAGTCACAGACAAAATTCCTATAGAGACGAAGGCATCTCTTTAATCGTCTGAACTGTGTGCTTAATGGAATAAAAACCAGAGAGTTGTGCTATTCTAATATGGTTGTATAATAATAATACAATAAAATTTTATATATGTAGTTTTGTTTTGAAATACGTACAATCCTAATGATAATTTAGTGGGGGAATATGATCAAGTCATGTTTATGATCATCTCTTTTCTTTTGTAGGCTTGTTGTAATCCATATGGTATCAATTTAATATATATATATATATGGTTTAAATTTTAATTGCTAATTTTATTACACGAATTATTTTTACCCTAAACTTCAATTTGGAAATTCTTGCCTGCAAATTTTCTTTTCACAAATTAAATCTCGCCCGTTCACACGTTCATTTAGTTAAATCTCAACAAGTGAAAAAAAATAATAATTAGTTAGCTAAATATCAATCGTTCATTCGTGAAGACAAAAGTGCAAGTGAGTAAAACTATCTAAATTGGGTGGCGTGAAACCTGTGTAGTTAGCTTTTGAGATTTGACACGTAAACTAACCTACTCTAATAGAGCAAAGAAAGTTGAGATTCCACCATAAAACCAATTGGCAATATGATGAATAACCCAACTCTTTATAAACACATGCAGTGTCTCTCATTTTTTTAATGTGAGATTTATACTCTTAACAAAGATAGAGTCGTCTCAATGCAAACTGAGGCATACGACAAAAATATACAATCATACCTTCCTAATTCTCTAGACACTTAATATAGTTTTCACCTAATAAGCTAGTGAAATTAGAAAACTTTTCAATCCAATCTACTAACTATTTCCACAATCGTAAGAATTAGAGGCACATTAGATTAGATTTAGGAGGATAATAGAAACCTTTTGTTTTTTTTTCCCCCTTTATTGTGCTGAGAATATGATGAAGGGATAAATTTTAAAGATACAAAATAAGAGTATGAAAAAAAAATGAGGCATGATTCAAAGTGAGCTAGGTTCAAGGTACACTCCTTGTCGCTTTCCTACTTTGCTATGAGATTTGCTTTTTTGACAGCATAAGTTTTGTTGATTGGCATCCCACACCACCATTGGTAGGTTTGATTATCCATTACCAATTCGTTGGGGAAAATATGCATATGATTATCCATAGCTAAACTACAAACCAGTTTTATGACCTTTGGGATTGTATGATACTTACTCAAATTTCAACATGTTTTATCTTTCTCCCCAACAGCGGCTCGAATTCTGGCTCCGAATGCGCAAAATATACACCAATAATCTGTATCAGGGTACTCATACATCACATCCTCCTCTTAAGCACTGATTCTTACCCATATCTCAAACATGTCTGTGGAGCAAAAAATAATCACAAGGCGACACGTGGATTTTTGGGTAAATGAAGAAAATTACCCTCAAGGCACACCGAGATTCCTACACGCGAGCAATGGGCAATCATCCCTCAACCAAGTCAAAAGTGCGCAAAATAGGTAATAATTCAAAACCTATTTCATCCATCCTCATAAAATCCTTTCCGGGTTCCACAAGTAGTTCAAAGTCTCAGGCAGTTTGCCAAACAAGACTTTGCAGGCTGAGGATTATTTCAGTTGTCCAACAATCCCTGAGAATTCCAAATTCTAGTTCAAATAGGAAACCTTTTATTTTCTGTTTTATCATTTAATTATGTTTCCTAGAAGGGAGGTCGAAGTAAAACCAAAGGACGGCAAACAAGGCGGAATGTGGGTGAGCAGAAGAAATAGAGAGACCCTTTTTTTTGGGTGATGCCATTCAAAGACATTTTTTGATTTCCCATATATTTTGTCATTGAATTATTTTTAATTTAATCGATCAAATGGACGAGAATTGAGAGATGTGTGAAAGACAAGAGGTATATGGATAGTGCTACCATTTTTTCTATGTTCCACCTCATTTTCATTTCATTTTTTCTCCATTTTCAATTTGTATGGCATTGCATGGAATGGTTTTTTGCACATGGTATTTAAACGGCTAGATTTCGATGTCAAAACCAAGTAAAGAACATATATATGAAACAAGTTCACTATCACATAAGACATGACAATGCATTATTAGATTGAGATGTCACGGTGGCGGTGAGCTCATTTCATGTAAGTTTCTCTTCAATCATGTGATGCGTCATATACATCAGTGCATTGTAGAATTTTCACTTTTGGAGATTGTCTTGTTGAAGATGATTTTTTTTTTTTTGACAAATGATAATGTTAGTGGATTAAATTGTTAAATATTAGAGGGAGGAGGATCGGTGGACTTGAACCCACATCAGAGTGCAAAAATCTTATTGCATTTTGCCATTGTAGTAAGGCGTCATCCACTTGTTGAAGATGATCTTGGTCAAGCAAAAGAGAGAAAAATAAAAATGTATTATCCATTACTTAGGGTTTAAGTCTTAATCATTTCTCATTACACCCAAAATTTTATTCGAAAAATAATGAGAAATAATTTATTTTTACTAGTGATTCGTTAGAGGATCAACGGACAAAATTAAAAAGTGGAATACAAAAGTTGTTCCCTATTTAAGTGATGAAATGCTACAACATCATTAAGATTAAAAAAAGTTATACTTAGGTCCTCACTAGCAAAAGTGCCCGCGCGATGCTGCGGGTTTTAAAATTGTATAAAATATGTAGAAAGTTATAATGTGTACATATACTATTTACATACATATGAAATCTATTTACAACCCTAAAAAAAGGTTTCAACTTCGACATAACAAAAACAGTTTGCACAAATCTTAGCAAGAATTCACTAACATATATGAAGGGATCCCCTACAAATGAATAGTTTGCACAACCCAAGATAATATAGCAAGAAATAAAGAATGAAAAACCTTTTCTTCGGTAAAAATGAAAGTAGTAATACTGTAATAGTAACATCAGTTCTAGACATATTTTAAGTGTCGAATATAGGAGCATACTTATTAGCTATTGGATTATATCTCGTCAATAACAAACAGCCAATTTCCGCACCATTTTTCTATAGCTTCATAGTTGGCATGGTCTGAGCTAATAAGAAATCTCTCCACTTCTTTGAGATAGTTTCGAGTAATCTGTGGTTCCCATGAGACACCTTTGCCCAACATCTCAATGCTAAATCATCAGGAAATCCAGAAATAAGACATTGGTGCAAAAATTCTCTATATTCCAAAAGATTGTTAAATAAAATCAACCAAATACTCGAGACCAAAAAAGAGAAAAACTACATGCGTATAGAGCTATAGATAAGATAGAGGTCAGTTCTTCGCGAAACCAACATTGCATTTTACCAAAAAAAAAATAAAAATAAAAAAATAAAACCCAACAAAATAAAAGATGAGTATATGCAGTGGCAGTCATATAAGAGTTCATTCATCAGCTGAAATTTGTTACTTCAGATTGGCCCATTCATCATTTCTATAAAATTTATATTATGGCATTCCCACTTAGCAAAACTAACATGTTAGCATTAATAAACTGAAAAGCTATATCACTGTAACCCGAGTCAACTTATCCAATCAGAAAAGTAGCGTAATATCTTTAGTAGAACATAACCTGGTCTATCCAGCAAGTTTTGTGCGAAACTCATTGAAATTCCTTATCATTGAGGTAAACTTGGATCTCATTTTCTGCACATTGATGAAGCCGTTCCAACCCAGACTCAACTTCACCTGCAGAAACACAAATTAATTAGGACAAAGCAACACGATGCATTGTCTCTCTTCAAGCTTGAGCAAATGACATACCTTGCAAGTACTCAGAACTTGGCATGTTCATGCTCCGGCAAATAATATCAATTAGCATATGTCCATGTTAGTACTCGCCCATATTCAACTATTTGAAAATAAAGAAAATTTAATAAGAAAAAGCAATAGACTCTTGGTAGAAAAGTGTCGTCATTTGTGGTGTACCTGTAGTCAGGCCTCTGTAATAAACTTCAACTGTGACTCAGGTTGGCACTACATATCGCTCTGCTTCTCAAGCTACAATAACAACATCGATGGTATACATAACTCAAAAAAATGAAAAATAGTAGAAACTGAAGGAGAAAATTGTACATATAGAAAATACATTGCACTAAGCATAAACCCAGGAACACAAACCACACAATTGACATTCACATTCATCAGCTATACCAAAATCACTAACCAAGAAAGACATGACAGTAAAATGTTTTACTTACGTGCATAGTGCCTCTGCAAGTCTGCAAGTGCTTTTCACCGGGACTGCAGTGCAGTGAAGGGAAAGGAAAAAAAAATTACTCTAACCTGAATTATTTTATAAATACCATAGATTGTCATGAAGAACATGTATTTTGAAATTATAGACATGATTTATACCCCAAAAAGTAGATAATAGAAACTGCTAAAGCATCAATTGAAAAAATAAAAAGAAGATTCTTGCACATCGAGCCTATGATAAATGTCAATTAATTGACATTAAGTCAAAGAAAGCATCTGCTAAAGCATAATTAACCCAACCTACTTTAATCCATGAAATCAATTCAGTTATCCCTTCCTATTCTGATAACTGTCCAAACCATGAATGAGATACAATTGGATCATCATCCAAGAACCGATACAGGTGGTTCCCATCCTCAAATAGAATTTTCCTGGTGCAACATAAAAGCACTGTTGAAAACAACGGAAGAATACATGTCAACAATGGCATAATATATGTGAAGCAAGTTGGTTTGACATGAAAACAAAAATTGTAATTGTCCACATATTTCACGCCTTCATTGTATAAGAAAAATGTCAGTCCAACCACTTGTAGATCAAATGTAATTTTGATTGAGTATTATTCTTTCCACCCAGAATTTCCTAACAATAAAACAAAGTGAATGAGAATATAAAGACACTTCCAAGGCAAACTTCAAAGGCTCACTGAAGAACATTATGCAAAATAGAGTTTGCATGCAAACTTTCTCCAAATTCAATAGCCTGCATCGTAACAGAAATCGAAAGGTAAAAGGGAAGAGTTAATAAGAATAAGATTAGCTAGCAATCTCTTTTGCATATACAGTAGATACAACATACTTGATGAAATCATTTCTTGCATATGAAATACAACATCGTCATTTAACTGCATACACAGAGAACAAACACGCAGACAGAGAGATGAATGTGCAAAATGAGAGAAAAGAAAACTAAACCAAGATTGGTATACAAAAGAGCATTAGATCTATAACCTGGAAAACAAAAAGAAAAAAAAAAAGCCATACAAAAAACCCCAAAAAAAAAAAAAAAAAATTACGGACCTTAAGACAGAGAACAAACAGGCAGACAGAGAGATCAATGTGCAAAATGAGAGAAAAGAAAACTAATAAGGGAAATAAATATCTCTGATGATTCCCCCAAAATCTGACCTAACACACTAAAAAATTCGAAAATAATCCACAACAAAAAGGCAGATCTAAGCTGATAGAAAAAAAAAAAAATTTTAAAAGCACTTATCTTTCGAAATCCAGGCATGCAGCGGTAGATCCGGATAATCCGTATCCCCACTTCTGAAATCCATGACTCATACCTTTCCCCTTCGCTCTCTTTCCATCGTCATCTCTCTCTCTCTCTCTCTCTCTCTCTTTCTTTCTTCCGCTCTCTGTCAGAGTCTCCATCCCCCCGAAACCCTCATTGAAGGACAGCAAATGAAACCCACTTTCCCACATCTGAAATCCATCAGCCATGCCTCTCCCCTGCGCTGTCTTCCCCTCGGCATCTCTCTCTCTCTCTCTCTCTCTGTCTCTCCGTTTCTTCCGCTCTCTGTGAGAGCTTCATTTCCCCGAAACTATCAGTGAAGGACAGCAAATGCAACCCTTACACGGCAACCCCTTAATTCACTCAAAACCGAGAGGACAAAATTGCCCTTCCAACCTAGTCCACATATAATGGGTTTCTTGCAAATAAGGTGAAATGAAGGGGTAATTCGTCCAAAACCCTCCGGACAAAATCACCCTTATCAGTTCAAATAATATCCTTCAAACCCAGCCCAATTCTCATGGTTTTTTTGTAAATAAGATGAAATCAAGAGGCAAACAATTGACTGTGGCCCAATGAACAGTCAATTGCTCCTCAGTTTTAGAATAGATAACTAGCAGGACTGCCCGCGCTTTGCTGCGGGTTTTCAAATCATGAATAATATTCATAGAAAATTTAACTGAAAATGCTACAGCGATATAATCGCATTCTTAAATGTAACAATTTAGAGAACGCATGTTTTATATGAGTAACGCTCACAAAACCACACATTTACACAATTATCTCCAAATGAAAGAAAAAGCAAGAGATATGTGAATTGATCCATAAAATATGTAGTTTAATTTACATCGCTACTCATTAAGTCGACATCAAATAGAAGCTTCACATCACAATAATTAACCACAATCCTCTGTTTTTGTAAGTGCAAAATGAAAAACGGAATCAAATATTAAACCCAATATCTTCACAGCACAATGTTCAACCCAAAATCTTCACATTAGCTCAAGAACTATATTGTTTCCAGAGCTTTCCAATTTCCCAGCACGGAACAACAAACATAAAAGCATTAAAATAGTTCTAAATTAAAACAATAGGATGAACTACAAAACGATAGAGGAAAGATTAAGAGCTTACCCTCACAAAATCAAAGCTCACCAAAATGCTTACCCTAACCAGAGAATCGTAGAGAATAAATCTGCATCAACATGTAAATCATAGAAAAAAAAATTAAAATTTATAAATAGCATCATTTCACTACTAATTTGAATAAATCCAGAAACAATACATTGGAATAATCTTTTAGGTCTTCCAATATTAATAGGTTAGAAATTCAGAAGATAAAACACCACAATTCATTAAATTCAAAGTTGAACAATTCATTAAATTCAGAGCTTACCCACTGTAACATCAAATGATAGAAGCAAGACTTGTGTTAAAAGTCATGTGATGTGTATATTTAAAGACACCAAGATTTTACATGCCCAAGAAAGGGAATCACTCCATTAAAAAGAGAGGAACTACTGATACTACAGGTACATTAACCAGACCACTAATTTTAAATGACAGCATATGCTCGAGTAAGCGAAAGACTAAAAGACAAAAAGAAGAGGGTTATATACCCGTTTCAATGTCATTGTCAGGGGCCTCTTAAACCTGGTTCCAAAATGAGGATAGTCCAACACTCTCGTAGTGACTAATGCTTATTGTGACCTTCACTCAGTTTGTGAATTAGAAACTTGAAATACACCAAAAATTATATTAATAGCCATTCCCCTAATTTTAACTACTAACAGCGTAAAGAATTGGAAATTACAATTAAGACCAATGTTTTCCCCCTTTTTTTTCATTGCCATAAAAGGCAGAAAAACAAAGGCTTCTAAAACTCAAACCAACCGTCTCATTTCTTCCCAAAAATAAACATATTTTAATCCAACATTCATAAATGCATGGTCAAACAGGGGAGAAAATTATGTTAATTTGGGCTTCAAATTTACAAACATAACTGTTTACAATAAGCATATATAACATGATTTGGTCTGCAGTGCTTTCACCAATAGTTATAAAAAACAAAGATTCTAAAGATATGCATGCAATAGAATGACTATTACCTCCAAGTAAGCAATTGCATGGTTGCAGTCTAAGTTGCACACATCATGTTCAATCTGATAGCTTCAGTATAGCACTTGACAACATTATTTCAGGCTTTTCCTTAAATGAAGTATTTCCCTGGGAAAAGATTAGCAAACATAGAAATTGAAACAATACACATAAGTACATTGGTATCCCAGTTCTTTGCTAATAGAAAATGAAATTAAGGGGATGGAGAGACCTAATTTCAACTTTTTGAAGGAGAACACCACACTTCATTCATATCAAAGAACATCATGATTCCAATTTCAATTTTGAACATAATAAATCACATAGCATTCATATATTACTTCAACTTCTTTCAAATTTACTTTTGTATTTAAAGATTGTATATTTTAATGAGTCTAAATTGACTATATATAAATTATACCTTTTTATATTTAAATAATAATGTACATTGTATAATTACAGTTATAGTCCATGAATACAATTAGAGGCCTTTGAATTTCTTTGCAAGAGAAGATTTACACGGAAAAGCAACTGCAAATATACAGAAGGAGGGAATTTGAGTTTTGTAGTCCATCTACTCAGCAATTTCTTAATATAGATACAACTGAGCAGTGGGAGAGCTTTAGCTAATACTATTCAATTCCACAGGTAATTATAAAAAAATAATCACATAATTTCTCACAATAAAAATCAATGTGACTAAAAACAAATGATATGTATCAACTTTGATGATTTCCCTTATTTTCCCTCTCCTTCCCAGCAACCAAACAGGGGCAAAAATTACCGAAAACTGAAAAGATTGAAGTACCTGAGCAAGTTGGAATGCCTGGGTTGCCATATACACTTGGTGTAAAAAAAATAAGGGTGGGCATTTTTAGAGCACCTAAACCCTTCATCCACAAACGTATGTAAAAAATCATACAAAATAATATTTTGAATGCATTAATCCGTAGAAACAAATAAGCTAAAATCAAACTTCTCTATCAGAAAGTAAAGACACGATCCAAAAATCCATTAACATAAAAAAGATGTCAATGTCCATTAGCAGCAAGTTTCTCACCTGGAAGACAAATCTCTTTTTCATTCCTTGAACTGATAGAAGACCTTTCATACGATATATGTCCTCACTTCGTTTCAACAACAGTGTACCAAGCCATATGTTAGCCTAAAAAAATAAAAACGAAATCAGTAGTCTTTGTCAGGTTTTCTTTCATACATGCCTGGACAAAGACTCTGGATGCAACTGGCCCTCAAATGTGTACTTGTCTCATTCAAAGGCAACGGGTCCACATGGAAGACACAAAAGAAATTATCAAATATATTGCAAAATACGACAAAACATAGATCCTACCTTTTCAAGTTCTAAGTTCCTTTCACAAACTATGCTGACAGAAGAAACATCAGGATCATGAACATGATCATGGGTGTGGTGATCCTCATGATGGTCTGCACATCAGTTTCAAATGTGTGAATATCAGTTCATAAATCAAATCACAATTATAGTGGAAGATCAGAACTCTTAAAGCAAATCAAAATATTATCCAATCAAAAACCAAACTAAAGCAAATCACATACGCAACAGAAGCCGAACACAAATCCCACATTTCACAACCAAATCATCATATTAGTTCGAAACATTAAATTCTAAGAACTAAAAATAATAATAACAGTACCTTAAACTGAATCTTGAGGTGAGAACCTCTTGCTTTGCAACCTGCAACAAACCATAGAAATTAAAACCCACGAATCCACAATCAGATAAAAACAATTTTCCAAGAAAAACAAAACGAAGATTGGTATACAAAGGAGCATTAGATCTATAACCTGGAAAACAAAAAGAAAAAAAAAAGCCATACAAAAAACCCAAAAAAAAAAAAAAAAAAAAAGAACCGACCTTAAGACAGAGAACAAACAGGCAGACAGAGAGATGAATGTGCAAAATGAGAGAAAAGCAAACTAATAAGGGAAATTAATATCTCTGATGATTCCCCCAAAATCTGACCTTACACACTAAAAAATTCGAAAATAATCCACTTATTTTTCAAAATCACTTATCTTTCTAAGCTGATAGAAAAAAAAAAAAAATTTAAAAAGCACTTATCTTTCGAAATCTAGGCATGCAGCGGTAGATCCGGATAACCCGTATGGTTTTCTCTGACCATCCCCACTCTCCCACTTCTGAAATCCATGACTCATACCTCTCCCCTTCGCTCTCTTTCCATCGTCATCTCTCTCTCTCTCTCTCTTTCTTCCGCTCTCTGTCAGAGTCTCCATCCCCCCGAAACCCTCATTCAAGGACAGCAAATGAAACTGTACACAACAACCCTCGAATTCAGTCAAAACCGAGAAGACAAAACCCACTTTCCCAGTTTTGAAATCCATCATCCATACCTCTCCCCTGCGCTGTCTTCCCATCGGCATCTCTCTCTCTTTCTCTCTCTCTCTCTCTCTCTGTTTCTTCCGCTCTCGGCATCTCTCTCTCTCTCTCTCTCTGTTTCTTCCGCTCTCTGTCAGAGCCTCAATTCCCCGAAACCATCAATGAAGGGCAGCAAATGCAACCCTACACGGCAACCCCAAAATTTAGCCAAAACCGACAGGACAAAATTGCCCTTCCAACCTAGTCCACATATAATGGGTTTCTTGCAAATAAGGTGAAATAAAGGGGTAATTCGTCCTAAACCCTCCGGACAAAATTACCCTTCTTCAAATAAATACCCTTCAAACCCAGCCCAAATCTCATGGTTTTATTGTAAATAAGATGAAATCAAGAGGCAAACAATTGACTGTAGCCGAATGAACAGTCAATTGCTCCTCAGTTTTAGAATAGATAATGTGCGCTTCCAATTTCCTCTCTTGGACCCCAAGCAACCAACATCAAAGATTCAACCGCTAATTGCTATTATTTGGGCTCTGGCCCCTCTTTCTGTTCCTCTTGTAGGCCCTTCCAACGAGAAAATCTTAGGTCCGAGGAACAGACCAGGTGGCCATACGGGCCCACGCACACAAAATCATCCCTACTTTATATCTCCTGAATTTTTCTTGTTCATCCGGTCTCATTGTGTTCCACTATCCTCTTACAGAATACGGAGGGGTCCACCATCAATGGTGGCCACACCCAAGACCTTCTGCTTTGCAATAGAAATATTCTTTTTCTTTCTTTTATTAACGTTTTACATTTTCGAGTACTCTCTTTTTGTGCATTCAGGAAGGAAAATTCTACAATGCATTAGTATATGTGATATATTGGTGAGTTGAATATGTCATGACTGAATTTAATGTCTCATTCTAATTGTTGAAAGTTAGGTGCATACATGCCTTTATCAGTGTATTGGACGACTAAATTTGCATGATTGAATTTTAATAATCTCAATCTAACTGTCTAAATACTAGTGCATATCATTGAAGGCATTGAAGGGATGTAGGGCGAAGAAAATAGAGCCAGTATTATATATATATATTTTTTTTTCTTGTGGATTTGTTCCCTTTTCATTTCATTTTTCCCTTTCCAATTTAGGACGTGTTTGTAAATGCTTTTATAAATGATAATATATTTTTTATGACAATCAAAAGTGTTTCTAGCTATGTTTCTTACAACTTAAAATGTTTTTGGGTCGTAAAATTGCTTCATAAAGAAACACGTGGTGTGTGCTAGTCCAGAAAACACTTTGAAGTGCTTTTTTCATGAAGCACTTGGATTTTAATAAAATAAATAAATGTTTAAATTAAAAGCATTTATAAGCACAAATGCTTCTTACGAAAGGAATCTCAAACGAGTTACAAGGCATTTTTACTCAAGTCTTGAATCAGATAAAGGATGTGTTTTCTTTCCTCTCTCTTTTCCTAACCGACTAAACTCCACTCCTTCACCCTCCAATGCATCGTCGGAGCCCTCTCCATCCCCATCCCGGCCTTCAGCTTCCTCCGTAATCTTTCCTGGAGACCATTCCAACATATGGAGGATTACCGCTAGCATTTACTTGACTTCCAAGATTCATTCAGTTACCACCAGCATAATCTTGTCTTCAACTATGATGTTGCTGGAGCGAAGAGCTAGTGGATGACTTAGCTTCGGAAGGTGGAGCTTTTTCTCTAGCCCCAAAAGCTTTGCGACAACTACTGCATCGGAGGCACTGGATTCAATTGCCAGAATAATTCGATTGCTAGAATAATATAACTAGTACTTGATTCCTTCATCGATAATATGTACTTAAATATTAGTTGTATACCAGTGCTGATCCCCACTAACTTCTTATCACAAAAGGGATTTCTAGGAGAGGCCAACAAAAGAAACTTCAGCTACTTCTCAAGCACTTTCATCAGTGCCGGAATCTGTTCCAGAAGCTACATTTTCTTCTCCAAGAAAGCAACCTTGTCCGTCTCAGCTTTGAGCGCATTGGCCATATCCTCAGATTCCACCTTGGCAGCATCACGTTCAGCACTTAGCAGCTTGTTATCCTCCTTTAGCTTATTCACCAGGGCATGCAAACTACAGAAGAAGGCGGAGGGGTTTGTGCTGTGAAATGATGAGCTGGTGGGTGGCACGTAGAGGGGAAGGGGAGAGAAGTAAAGGGTAATGTTTGGGCTGTGGAACGAGCTGGTGAGTGGGCATGCTAAGGGCGGAGGGAGAGAGATAGAAAGAATACTTTCTGTATATTTGTTTTCTTAATGAGAAAGAAATTACAACTGAGTATATATACACTTTGCTAAATAAACTTGGTGACTAATGACCACTAGATTAGCATCTAATAACAGGAATTAGTTACAACCAAATTACAGCTGTTAAAGCATAAAAATATCTAATGATGAGGTGTCCCTTTACCCTCCCTCAAGCTAAACGGAGGATCTCCGAGAGAAAGCTTGGACTGCAGTAGCTTGAATCTGGCCTTGGACAGTGCCTTGGTATGAATGTCTGCAATCTGATGATGGGTATTGATATGAAGGACCTGAATCAAATTTGCTAAAACAAGTTCTCTAATGTAATGATAGTCAATTTCCACATGCTTTGTGCGAGCATGGAAGACGGGATTAGAAGCCAAAGAAATAGCAGAACATTATCACACCAGAGTTTAGGAACCTGCCGAAGAGGAAAAAGGACATCTTGTAAAATTTTACAGATCCAGGTCAACTCTGCAGCTGTGTGAGCAAGGGATCTATATTCAGCCTCTGTGGACGATCTAGCAACTGTGGGTTGCTTCTTTGCGCTCCAACTAATCAGATTGGGACCAAGATACACACAATAACCACTGGTTGATCGTCTGTCAAAGGTGCATCCAGCCCAATCAGCATCCGAATAGGCTGTAAGATGTAAGGGACCTTGCTTGAACCACAGACCTTGAGTAATAGAACCCTTAAGAAATCTCAAGATTCTTTTTACTGCTTGAAGGTGAGGTTCTCTCGGACAATGGAGAAATTGGCACACTTGGTTTACAGCAAAAGAGATATCGGGTCGTGTCCAAGTAAGATACTGAAGTGCACCTACAATGGATCTGTACTCCTTGGGATTGGGTAGTAAAGGACCAGTGTGATCCAATTTAACTGATCCAAGAGGAGTAGAACATGGTTTGCAGCCATCCATATTTGTTTTAACAAGTAAATCAAGAGCATACTTGCCTTGAGACAATAATAAGCCAGCTGTGGTTCTGTGAACTTCTAACCCGAGGAAAAAAATGAAGAGGACCCAAATCCTTGACAGGAAATAAACTGCTCAATTTGTGAATGAAAGCTTGACAGTGAGAAGCATTGGGACCAGTCACGAGAATGTCATCGACAGTGAGAAGCATTGGTAAATTAGTATAATATTTGTATGTAGGTAATTACATGATTCAAAATGCAAGTTTATTAGTATAATATTTTATAAGTAGGTAAATTAATTTGTATGTAGGTAATTACATAATTCAAACAATATTATTTTTTCCGTACAAGATTGTCTTTCTCTTTTAAATTTGGTAAATTAATTTATATATGTTGCTAATATTTATGATACAAGAAAGGTAAAATATCCATATGGATTTAATTGCTCATCATAATTAGGATGAGTAATAACATTTATTGACCAAATTAGGATTCTATGGCATAAGTTGTAATTGTATTGTAATAGTTGGTCATATATTTGTCTACATGGTAGGCTATTTGAAATTTGGATTTTATTTGAATGTTTAAATTTAGATGGGTTTTTATTTGGAAAATAGGAGTTTTAAGGGTCTATATCTAAAGAACCCGCTTAATTTTAAAGTGAGATAGTTTTTGGTGAAAAAAAAAAAAGGCAATACCAAAGGTATCGTTTGGTATGCAGACGGGACGGGACAGAACGGAATGGGACAGGACGGGACAGGACAGGATAGAACGGAACGGAGCGAGAGCAAAGATGCGCTCGGATGGAAACAAGGAGGAAGAAGAAGGAGACAGAGAGGTTATAATTTTGTGTTCCACGGATGTGGAACGAGTCGTTCCAGGGGGGTGAGGCGGAACAAAAATTCACCCAAAACTCGTCCCGTGGAACAGCTCGTTCCACCCGTTTTAGGCGCACCAAACGTGGGACGGAACGCCTTGTCCAACTCTGTTCCGTCCCGTCCCACGTACCAAACGGTACCAAACTGCACCTTAAAATCCTTATTTTTCTTTTAGCCCATTGGTGTGGGATAGCTAACAGCTTAATCAAACAAAACATTAATTATTAATTAATTGCCAAGAACTGAATATTATATACCTTGGAGGCAATTAACGTCCAGATGTTATGGTGGATGCTGTGGAGGCGAACCACGAGAGCTTCCTCCTCCGCAGAAAAGGGCACTCCTTTCATAGAAGTGTGGGTCCAGGTGGTTCTTCCACCGACTCCAACAGCTGGTTCTGTCGCGGACTCGCGGTCAAACCCCTCCGCCCTCATCCGTGCCGCGTGCGAGGGCCAGTTTTCAGGGCCGTGTTCAGTGACGTGGGGAGCCTCGTCCTCACGCTGTGTCCATGCCATCCGTCTTTTCCTCTCTTTCGACTTCATGGCAGCGGAGGAACTGCAGCAAGCAATACCAAAAATATATGACCAAATATTATACTCAAATTGATTTCATACATTATGGCAGAAAACAGGAGGAAGCAAAACAAAATGAACACAAAATTGCCCACGACTAGAAATTCAGTAAACAAAAATTGTAGTGTTAATTATACAAGTGACATTGGGGAAGGGGAATCGAAATCGGGACTCTGAGTGCAGGATTGAAATGCTTTTGACCATATTTTGCGTGTACCTGAGCCTGGGGAGGAGGCAGAGAAGGTGGGTTGTGGAAATGGAGAGTGAGAGTTTGGTAAAAACCCTGGAAAAAGCGGAGGGTTTTGGGGATTTTAAAGAAGGGAAGTATTTCTGCAACAGAAAAAAGTTTTGGGCTGGTTTTATTTTTGGGAACTCTGGCCCTTCTGTTCTTGTTTTGGGCTCTGGCCCCTCTCTATTCCTCTTGTAGGCCTTTCAGTTTTTTTTATTGGTAAAGTACAAAAAACTACCTCAATTATTAGTCTCACGACACTTTCATACCTCATCTTTTTAAAATAACAATGTTATACCTTATCTTACGAATTTGTGCCAATATCATACCTCTGTCAGTTTTTCTGTTAGTTTCTCAGTTAAATGCTGACGTGCCTTGATTCGGGACTCACTTTCTATTAAAAAATTATTAAAAACTAAAAAAAAATCATTTAATATTTTTAAAATATTAAAATAATAAAGAAAAGTTAAAAAATAAAAAATAAAAATAAAAAAAAACCAAACAAAACTTCCCCTTAGCGCCCTCCCTTCTCCCCCATCTTCATCTCCCTTCCACCTCTTCTTCCTACATGCTGCAACCTAGAAAAAAGAAAAACAAAACAAAACAAAATTTTGTCCCTTCTCCCCTGCGCCCTCTCTCTTCTCCCCCATCTTCATCTCCCTTCCTCTTCTTCCTACATGCTGCAACCCAAAAAATAAAAAATAAAAAAAAATAAAAAAACAAACAAACATAACAAAACAAAACAAAACTTTGTCCCTTCCCCCTTCTCCTCCATCTTCATCTCCTTTCCTCTTCTTCCTACCTGCTGCAACCCAGGAAAAAGAAAGAAAAAAAAAATACACAAAACTTTGTTCCTTCCCCCCCCCCCCCGGGGCCCTCTTTCTTCTCCTCCATCTTCATCTTCTTTCCTCTTCTTCCCCTTATCTGCTGTAACCCAGAAAAAAAAAAAAAAAAAACAATTGTCTTCCCCCGCACCCACCCTCTTCCCTCCGCTACACACCCCACTCCTTAAATCCACACCCATTCCCCCCATTTTCTCCACGCCCAGGTTCTCCATCCGCGGAATCGGCCTAGCGAATGGGATCTGGGTTTTTTTTTTTTTTTTCTTCTTCTTCTTCTTCCTCTTCCTTCTTCTTCTTTCTGGGTTGCAGGGGTTGGATTTGTTTTAGGAGGGGGGGAGGGGGGGCGACGAACTGGGTTGGGGTTTTTTTTTTTTTTTTTCCTTCTTCTTCTTCTCCTCCTCCTTCCTTCTTCTTCTTCTTCTTCTTCTTCTTCCTCCTTCTTCTCCTTCTTCTCCTTCTTCTTCGAGGGGGGTTGGGGGTTGATGGGTTTTCAAAAGTAAAAATATTAAATGATTTTTTTTTTTTTAGTTTTTTTAATATTCTATTAATTTTTTAATAGAAAGTGGGGTTTGGATCAAGCCACGTTAGTATTTAACTGACAAATTAATGGCAGGCTAACGGAAGGTATAACATTGGCACAAATTCATAAGATGAGGTATGACATTGTCAATTTTAAAAGATGAGGTATGAAAGTGTTGTGACATCAATAGTTGCGGTATTTTTTTTGTACTTTACCCTTTTTTAAAAAAAAAAGTAAATTTATGAACGTCTGAATTTGCATGATTGAATTTTAATAGTCTTAATCTAACTGTCTAAACAATAGCGCATCTCATTAAACAAAGGGAGTTTTAACGAAAAGCCTACCATATTGTTCACTTTAACAAAAAACCACATTTTTACACTAAAAAGTCAATCATGGTATTATTCACTTTGCCCTTTATTTTATCCTTATCATTAAAACTCAAAGTTTTCAAGTTATTTTCATTAGTTTTCCTTTAAACAAATAGACGGTGAGGGAAAATAGAACGACAATTGATAAAGGAACCTCAAACAAACCTTAAAGCATTTTTACTTAAGTCTTTATATCGGATAATGGAACCTCAAGTTGTTTTTTTTTTTTTTATTATATTTTTGGGGGGGGGGGGGGTGTGGGGGGGGGGGGGGGGGGGGTGGGTGTGGAAGTTGGGAGGAGTTTAACAAAGCAATCCCTTCAAAACACCCTAACATAGTAAAACCTCTTGAATTTTAAAACTTCATGGGTTTCACAAACCAGTAGAGATTCACAAACACTTCAATTTTAGTCGACCCTCGTTGTATTCTTGTAGGACATAAATACATCCACAAACCAAAATATGATCCTACTCTCGTACAAACAAAGTCGTAATTAGTAATTGATTTTCATTATTTATACTGTGGTTGGTATATCTGTGCCGATCAGAGATCTCATGTACAATAAGGGCAAGAAAACCTTCCAAGTCTGCAAAGGATGTGTTTTCTTTCCTCTACCTTTTGCTAGCTGACTAATTAAACCCCATTCCTTCTTCCTCCCATGCATCGTCGGAGCCCTCTCCTGCCACATCTCGCTTTTCAGGCTCGGAGACCACACCTGCATATGGGGATTACCGCTAGCAGTTACTTGACTTCCAAGATTCATCGAGTTATCAGTAGTAGCATTCTGTCTTGAACTCTGATGTTGCTGGAGACTGATTACAAAAGGAAACTAATTACAATCAATTCAAATCCTACTCCTACCTAGAATATTTACAATTTAAATCTCAAGTCAACATTAGCAGCTGGAGGTGGAGCCTTTTCTAAAGCCCAAAAACCATTGCGACAATTCCTGCATAGGAGATTACGATTTATATAAACCCTAAGACACTCACCTCCTCTCGCGCGCCCTAACCTTCTCCTGAGGCAAGGTCTCCTTCTCCATCCGCCTCCTCTCGCGTGCCCTAACCTTTTCCCGAGGCAAGGTCTCCTTCTCCATCCACCTCCTTTCGCGCGCCCTAGTCTTCTCCCAAGGTAAGGTCTCCTTCTCCATCCACCTCCGGTCGTGCCCCTTAGCCTTCTCCCGAGGCAAGTTCTCCTTCTCCATCCACCTCCTCTCGTGCACCTTAGCCTTCTGCCTCATCTGATGACGATCTGTCAACATGTCATTCATCTTCGACTTATATTCTCTGACCCGAAACTTCTGCCTTGTGCTTGGCAGCACTCTTCTCAAAGTTATTAATTACTTCCTCCAGCTCTGCAACGCGTGTTCTGGCTTCGATGCGCTCCTTGAGGACCCGAAATTATAAAAAAACATTACAGCATTATTCAAAACAACACAAAATGGTAATTAAAAGCAATGAAAGTTCGAGCACAATCGCTTACACCAAGAGTGTGGTAGGCTACATTATGCTGCAGAACACCATCATCATATGGCTGCGTAATCCTTGTATGAGCGGGGCCAAGTTGGCCTAGGAACAATCTCTCTCCAACACCAGGCTTTCTCAACATAGCGATAATCTCGGGAGATGCACCTGTATCATCAACCATATTCTGAAGAAGTACGAACTTCAATAGTTATTTTACACATTAACAAACCTTCAAAGAAAATAACGTCAAAAGAACTAAAACTCAAACAGCCCATCTGATGCATGCGGTATTCTAATCTGTACTGGTTTTGTGAAAAACATGTTCATTTAAGCAACATCAATAGCATGCAATTAACAATTAAAGGCGGAATCATGCTTGTATGCACTTAAAACAAAACATTTACCCATGAAATTCAAAGCCTAGTAGATAGGTGAATCAAGACTCAACTCAAAATAAAGTGAGTTGAGAAATCAATACCTTTGTAGATTCCTCTTTGCATAAGCAAAGGCTAATCACCCAAAGAGAGGGCCTTCATTCCTTGCATCTTGGATCCATGGATTTGGATGGATGAAAAGGTTTCTCCAAGTTCCCAAAATTGAGAACCTCTAAGTCTCCACACCAAGGTATATTGAAGAAGAAATGAGTGACCTAGAGGAAGTAAGATTGCTAGATTTTCCCCTCTAGATTGGCCAAAATTTTAGAGAGAAAGGAGAGCTTGTGTTCTCATCCTTTCCCCCAAAAATAACCCTTAGTAAATTTTAGGCTATAAAGTCCTTTATATAGTCCCTTCAAATAAGTGACCTAATGGACCAAAAGCCCTATTCTTTTACACATGGCTAGCCTATAGGTTTATTGGGCTTTCAAGCCCTTTGTTTTATTCAAGTTGTCATACAACTTGAGTTAATGGGCTTGACATTCAAATCCCATTGGGCCTTGCGGCCCAAAACTAACCCGAGGTCTTTAACGAACTTATTCGTTTGATTAATTAACATATTAATTAATCCTAGCCTTAGATAAATAATTAAACCATTTAATTATTCTTACTCATCTCCGTTGAATCTTCAAACTCTACCTTACACGGTGTACGATCCATTAGGTTCCTTTTAGCGAGGCAGTGGGCGATTCAAACTCTTTCAAATCGATTGTGAATTGAAACTTACTTTCAATTCTCCCGTTAGTGATAATACACTTTTAGGGCTTCCACAAACCATGAGTGACACCTAGCAGCATATCATGGTTACCCAAGCTAATCAGAAGAGGTGGAGAACCTATTCAGTTTAGGATTACAAATGCAATACGGTCTTTCTCTAATACAATACTCTTGACCACATTGTTTGGTTTGATAGTTTATTCATGTCTACTATCCAATGTGAATCTTGTGCTTATATGATTACCTTGAATGTGATCTGGAACGCATTCCAACATTTCATTCATACTCTGGCCAGAGATTCCAAATCATATCATAGAGTATTCTCCCTCAAACAGTTTGAAGGTTAGAGATCCCTTGTTGCGCATTCACTTGCCTCCATGGCTAAGTGGCTTAACCCCGACGATGCCGTGGACACCCTGATAGAGTGACTTTGACATAATCAAAGATTAAGGACCTAACCACAAGACAACTGTGATGCCTCAGGTCAAAAGACTAATTTGCATTATCCCAACCATGAGTTCTCATGTGACATGAATATGAGAACTCTTCGTTGATCGTGTTCAGTGAACTCATTCTCTATTGAGCACCTACGTACTTGTCTTGATGTCACACACACCAATGACTCGAGACTAGTCACTCTCCCTGAGAGAAGACATAGCACGTACTGATCTTGACGGACTGTCAATGCCCAATTGACAATCCTATGATCAGGAACGTTTAGGATGTGTCAACGAAAGAATGGTCTCATGAATCTAACTTATTTAGATCGCATTCTTCCAATCACATATTCCTTGGACTTATCGTTTAAGCATATAACATTTATATGAGACGGCTCAAACAATAATGTTTGCCTTTTAAACTACATTAGTTTGAAATGTCCGTAAAGTATCATCATATGATTGGTTTTAGGGCACATTTCCAACAATCTCCCACTTGCACTAGAGCCAATCAGCTTAGTCATCATTGATGATACCTCTTCTGTAATTCATTTCATAAATGGCTGAGTAGTAGGCCTAAACAATGGATATCTATATGTTATCCATAGAAGCAACCTTGAGAATAACGACGTCACCATTATACATGATTCTCAATCATGTGGTTCAGTCTCTCATTTGAGTTCGGACCTTGATGAGACCTTGATTCCCTGGCTTGAGCTATCGCCCCATTAGTGTCATACACTTTCTGGTTGGAACCGAATGAAGAGTTCATGAATGAACTTTCCCATCCAAACAACAATGTTGTAAGCTTCTATATGGCAATATATTTTGCATACATGATGGAACACATTAAAGTCATTTACTTTTAACGTTTCCACCCAAATATCTCTTTAGTCATAATAAAGAGATATCTCATTATCACTTCATTCATAATGAAGAGATATTCTATGATGGATTAGATTCATAATCTAATACATTTACGCTTCCATTACGTTACTCTAATTCTTCCTCATTCTTGAGGAATCCATCCTTAATATTTCTTAAATACCTAAGGATTCACTTGACAGTTGCCATGGTTCTGATCCTGGGCTTGCACTGATATCATCTTGTACCGTTCTAGGTACGACTTATATCAATGTTTTCATACAATATGAAATACATAAATCACCTTTCTGCGTATGCATAAAGGATTCTATTTACGCATTATTTCTTTGGGAGTCAAAGGGTACATTCCCTTTGAGAAGAACAACTTCCTAGTCTCACTATAATTGTCATTCTAATTGAAGTTTATCATCATATGAGAAACTTTCTAGCATCTCATTGTCTATTTTAGGGATTGATATAATCCAATTATATCTTGAAATCTATCATTATAGATTTCCATCCCATGTATATAGACTATGTCTCCCATATACATTCTATCATTATAGAATGTTTAAAGTCATAATTTTAACGATGAAGAATTCCTTTCATTTTCAAAATTAATATATATCATGTATATATATTCAAATTTAGGAATATGATTAACTCCCACTAATCTTTTGTAAACCTAGTAAACAAAAGATTCATTTACATCTTTATGAGAAATCAAACAATTGATCTTTTCTCATAAGACGCTTATAGCTCCCACTAGCTTGCTAAGATCCATGATGGATGGATCTTCTTACAACTAACATGTCTTAGAAGTATATATCATATATATATATATGGGTAATTGATAATGTCCAACGAACTAAATCTTATTTATGTTCATTCTTCTCCTAATGGAGAAATACATTATCTTAGGATGCTACTTTCCTTGATATTTTTCAAGGAAATTAATCTAAAGTGTTACTTTTTCCTTGGATCAAATCTAAGGAGGTAAATACTTTAGACGTCTTACTCATCTACTTACATTTCTTGAATTCTTTGAAACCTTTTGCAAAGTATTCGGACTTGTGTTTATTCAAAATAAACTATAATCCAACCGAGAGTGATCTTCGGTGAATGTCATACAACATGAGTAGTATTATGTTGTGGACAAGTGCCACTAACATCTAAGTGAATTAACCTCAACAACTTTGTGATTCTTTCTTCTTTCCAAAAGAATAAAGATTCGAACATTTCGCCTCTATGCAATTTTTAACAAGAAGGTCTTGGATCCGGATCTAACGATCCAAAGCATCCATCTATGACCAACTCGTAACTTATGTTTTAGAGGTATCACAACTCAGTTGGGATTAGTCACTACCTTGCAACCTTTTGGGTTTTAAGCATCATCGTATTCTAAACAGTTAAACTACCACATCATCTCTACTATAAAGACAACCAATTAAATTACAATAATCTAATTTATTGATTAATAAAGAACAATGTTTTTGTCAAACAAAACATTTATCCATCTCTACTATAGTGACGGATTTAAGTTCCTTAAAATTGGAATGTAAAGACAATCTTTAGTATTTTCCAATTTCTTTGGTAGTTCATATGAGGAAGTAAGTACAATCCGCTTTCGCAGAGATCTATATTTTATTCACTTTCCGAATGTGAAGTACTTTCTCTTCTCTCATTTAATCTTCTACTTCTTATTAGCACACTTTTACAACAATTGTAAAACATAGTTACTAATACGGAATCAAGCATTCAAGTAGAAGAACCAACTGTTGTGAACTTTTCAAGAACATTTTACAACATCTTCGAAAGGTGTGTTCTTGACACTTGCAAGACATTTCTTGCAAATACCCCTTCCAATGTCCATCCTTTCATAAAGAAAGTTTGTTCCCTTGGAGTTATTTTGCCTTCTTCATTTGACTTCCCTTTTGACTACAATAGTCATGGTCCCTAAACTCCCACTATCTCTCTTGAAACTTATTTCAAATGTGTTATACATATCAAACGATTTGGAGAGTGTGCGGTTATTGTTCACTATATAGTTTACAATAAACTTAGTGAACCATTAGGATAGGGACACAAAGGTGAAGTCCTTGCCTAGTTTCCGTCTCGTTAAGTGGTTTAACACTTCAACACTCAATGATTCAAAATCATCATAAGTCCATATAAATGGACTATTTTTGTCAACCAACCATTATGTTCTAAACATAAC